CCGGCCGCCAGTTCCTATGGCGTGGCCCGAGGGGCCCGGAGAGGGGTGCGGGACGGCGGGTGGGCTACCTCCAGCCCAAACCTGGAAAACGTTCCCTTCCCATCCCCTCCTTGGCTAGGGTCCAGCGCCCCAGAGCTGCAGGCTCCGCGTAGGGAAGACCCGCCCCTCCGACCTTCCCCAGAGCCTCGGCTGAGGATAGAGACGCTCTGGAGCTCCCAGGAAGCCGGATGGAGGGGCGCGAGGGTGCGGGCCCTCCCCGCAGCCAGCCTTCCCGAGAATAGGCGGGGTGACCTTCCCGGAGGCGGGGGGGTGCCCCTGGGGGTCCGCTAGGCCTTGGGGGGCGGATCCAGCTTGACCTCAGGAGGCCATCACCCCACCCGATTTCTTCCTTACTTCGGTTGGCGGCAGTTTTCGTCTCCGTGGGGACACCCACTCCCCACACCTTAGTCTGAGTCCGGCGGGGGCCAGAGCGAGGAGGCCGACTAACTCCTAAGAGATCTGGGTTCCTGCAGCTCAGAGCACTGGCGACCACGTTCCCTTTCCCCTCAGAATCACAGGTATCGCTGGAGCCAGGGCTCCCTACCTGTTAGTTTGCTTTTTAAACTGGAGCGCACTCCTCGCCCGCAGCGGGGCTGGGTGTCTCTTCCTCCCGACCCTCGACTGGAGAACTAGGTTTCGTGTGTGGCTGACACTAACTGACATTCTCTGCTGGGGCGCGAGCTGCGGCCCCCCCCCCGTGTCCCCACGCGTGGCCGTCCTGTGTGGATTTCAGGACTGTAGTTAGCCCGGGTCCTCTCCCAGCTCTGGGGGTACCCAGGATCGGCGCCGCGTGGCCCGGGCGGAGCTGCGGCAGCACATGGGCTGCCATACGCGCCCCAAAAGCATGCGGTGTGGGGGAAGGGAAGTCCGAGCGCCCCCGGAATTCTGGAGCCGCTTTCGGAAGAGTGGCGATTTAAGGGCTTAACAATGGCAAACTCGCGGAGCTGAAGCCAAGTCCTTTCAAGTCACCGCCAGGTATGCGGCTGCAGGTGACCCCACCTAGGTGCGCCCGCCTGCAGCCCAGATTCGCTCCGCAGGCGGGGTGCAGAAGGTCCGTGCCGCACCCGGGTGACCCTGGGCTCACTCAAGCTTCCTCAAAACCCCCAGCTGGGCAGCGCGCAGCCGCGCTGCGTCCTGGGATCTGCGCCGCGGCGCGCGGGTTCCTGAATGAGCGCGCTCCCTTCCCCGGTTGAATGAAGGTTCCCACAGCCAGGGATGGTGGCAAACACGCGCCTGCGGCGGAATTCGCCCTCTCCCGGCGACCATCCGCCAGGCCTCGGTCACTCGGGCAGGGGCCAAGGAAAGACAGCGGGAAGGTGTATTGGGATTACTTTAGGATTTTCTTTTCAACCTCGCGACCCCGGCCCGATTCAGCCCTGGCTCTTTTGTCTCCAAATGGTCACCAAGAAATAAGCTCATACAGAAGACTTTAAATGAGCCCAGAATCTACAGTTCCTGTTTGGTAGTGGGTTTTCTAAAAACAGCGTGAAGTTTTAAAAAATGTCCACAAAAGTTTTTAAAACTTGCTTTTTCTCTTTAAAAATTTCAAAATCAAAGTGCTTCCTTACGCCTCTTGAACCAAAGGGCCTTAAGGACCTGCAGCTTCTGGCCCCCTCGGGGACTCCAGGGCTCGCCGAGCAGGCTTCCCCGGGGTGGGGGTTGGGCGGGAACGCTCCCCGCGGGGCCCCAAATTCCAGCGCTTCCCCCACGGGTTCCTGGACGGCTCTTCACGCCAGCCGGCCGGGCTTGCACTTTTGCGCCCGCCCCTGGGCCGGGAAATCAACGAAGTTCCTCGTCGAGATCTGCCGGGTCCGCCTAGTAACAGCGCCGCGCCCCCATTGGCTCATGCTAATTCCAGTTCCCTCCGTCTTTCCCGCGGTGGGGGACGCTCCCTGCGGACCCGGAGCCCGTGTCGCCGGAGAGGGCGAACCCCTTTATGCCCCTTTGCCTCTCACCTGCGAGCTTCGGCCTGGGCCGGACGCACGCGGGGCTCCGACCCCTCGCCCCCAGGGACGGGCGCCGCCTGTGACAGCGAGCGGCCTCATAAATCATCCGGGCAACCGCCCGGTCGAGATTTTATGAATGAAAAAGTAGCCGGGCCACCCTCGTGCGCAGGCTGATGCTCCGAGGCTCCGTGATGCCCACGGCCAGAGTAACCGTGGGCGCCCGTAGAGGGTGCGAACTGCCTGTGCCACTCACCCCGTGATTGGGGGTCATTTCCCTCCACGGACCCGGAATATTAGTAACCCCATTCCCGAATGGGAACCGAAAGGAAGGGACCTGGGGGCGGGGGTCGCATCTTGCGATGTGCACTCTGGGGGAGGGAAA